TGTGTGTGTGTGTGTGTGTGTGTGTGTGTGTGTAGTATGTGTATGTGTGTGTGTGTGTGTGTGTGTGTGTGTATGTGTGTGTGCATGTGTGTCTGTGAATGTGTGTGCTTGTGTGTACTGTCTGTCTACTTCTGACCTTTCCACATTCCCATCAACTGATGGTTTTTGCGTCTGTACTTCCTACACAAATTTAACAATGTTTAGACATTTTAAACTTAAATTATATTTTAACTTAAAAACAAACAGGAGAAAGTTTGCTTGCTTTCATTTTTTTTCCATTTTTCTGGATTTCCTTTTACCGTCATTGAAGAGTTTTTTCCATTCTTAAAACGATTTTAACTATCAGTAGTAAATTACTAAGTATATTGTCATTCATTCATTTACGTGTATAAAATGTGGGCCAAACTAGAGCAATTCGTTACCGTAGAATGACACAGTTCTATCTGACATTTTTGGCATTCTTGAGTTACTCTAAGACCATGAGATCAGAAACCAAAGGTATCTGTTCTATCAAAATCATAAGATTATTCGTTCGTGGTCGTTATCAAGATAATATTCAGAGAATTTCATTGGAAAAAGCTTGACATGTTGTGAACCTCGTTTGTTTATTGTATGTTTTTACGTCAAATTTCTCAAAACTAGGAAGACTACTGGACTGAGAAGACAGGACTTTGTCATTCTAACGTAGGGAATTGCCTATAGTATTTCATTGTTTAACCCTGTCCGTACGTCGTGTTTTACTATCGTATCCATTAACCCTATCCGTACCTCGTGTTTTACCATCGTACCCATACGTCGTGGGGAACTCTGTGCCATCACTTTCTAAAGAGGAAATTTACTCCGATCCGTACGATTTTTTTGAGAAATACTGAAAGTTTAAAAGAGATCTTCGCATTAGAAAAATTCTAAACTGTGAAGATTACAACCCCGGGGGTACAAAATGACCCCAGGGCGTACGAATAGGTTTAAAAATCATGCGTGTCCTACATTTACATTCCTCTTTTCTTTGGAGTCACGAGGCGGTCACTGTCTGTCCCACTGCCAATGTCACTGGAACCTCCAAAAGTTCTGCGTTTAGTACCAGGATGTTTTACAGTAAGGTCCTTGGTTAAGTATCAAACAACGGTGGGGGTGACATTGTGAGTAGAGTACTAGCACGTGAACTAACGGGTCAAGAAGAGTAGGTGAAAGAAAGATAGATAAGAAATGTTGTTGTTGAGAGGAGAGTGTGGG